AGATATTTCTGATTTCTTTCAGTTGTTAGATCAGATTGATCTAAATCATCCATCACTCTCTGTGGGCACAGTGAGATGGGCTCAAAGATAAAACTTATCAGCTATGACCTTTAGGGTTCCCAGATGTGTCTAGTAGACAATTTTAAAAGTAAGATATTTGGTATCCAGAACCAGATCTTCTATAAATCCATCAACAAAATTGATTCAATCAACAGTCTCAGAATTACACTGCTGTAGGGTTTTACAGTGATACTGTTCACCATGGTATTGGAATCTTGCCATTACAAGCAATGGGTATTGTTGAGAGGAAGTGGGTRACAGTATTTCCAAATGCACAGTACCAAGTTTGACTAAACTGCATTCATTGGTTGGTCACCTGTAAACATGGTACCAGTGTGAAACACAGAATTTCTATTAAAAATCTGTGTTTTGAGATAKTATTCTCCAAGTATAATTTTTAGCTGGAGTAATACAATTTTTTATTAAGCCATGAAACTTATATCTGAAACACCTAACAGAGTATCATATGTAGCTATATCTAGGACATGCACTGATTCATATGATTTCTGGCCTTGTTTAATTATTTGTACTTAATATTCCAAGGAAAACTGGATTTCTTTAATTTGGAGTTCAGAAGTATAATTGCAATTATTTTATAAAATAAAAAAGTGTGCATATTTGATGTGAATATCAAATAAAATGGATTATTTGATTATTTAAGCAATAAATAGTTTATATGATTTGTTTAATAGGTGTGTCAAATTTATGTTATGTTTGGAGAACTTAACATAATGTTAAGTTTGGAGAACTTAACTTAATGTTAGTAGTTGCTCTTTCACTATAGCATCAGAAGGATTTTTGTAACACTGAAAGSAGTGAACTATGTGAAAAATGTGAATTGTAACTGAACAACTAAGTCTAAAAATGCTGATATTTTGGCAAATATTTGAATATTTGAGGAAATGAAAGGAGCTTGTTTAATTACTGATCATAAATATGCTAATAAAATCCTATCAGGGAAAAGGAAAACAGGTATAATATATATATATATATATAATTTTCCTTAAGAAAGTCCATGTTTGTTTCTGGTACAGGTTCCTAGTCAATCTTCAGACCTGATGATTAACTCAAAGTGTGCCCAGTGCCCACCATCAGATATATATATATATATATATAATTTTCCTTAAGAAAGTCCATGTTTGTTTCTGGTACAGGTTCCTAGTCAATCTTCAGACCTGATGATTAACTCAAAGTGTGCCCAGTGCCCACCATCAGATAACAACAGCTTGACATTCTGWATTATGTTACAGCTGTGACAACAAATACAACTTTTCTGTGGCTTTGGGCACATAAATGAATCAAACTGTGGCAATTCAAGATGGTGTGGAATTAAAAAAAGCTGAAAATTGTAACACACCTGAAAGTCAAATTAGCCTCCAAAGCAACAGTAGAAAAATGTATATGTGCATAAATAAGGACTAAATATGCCAGACTTCTCYTGTGTTTTCTTCTTTCCCTCACAAATTTTCAAATGCCCAGCTGRTTTATCTAACACAGCTGCCCCCATGGAATTTGCTTGAGGTTTATGCCTCAGCCAYCACCTCTGTGAATCCATCATACAGACATATTGCTGCCCTGTTTGATGGTAACAGTTGATTCTTCACCTGTAATRCATTTGTTTGTAAGAATCTCTCCAGGAAAACTGGAACTAGAATGTAGAACTTGTTTTGCATAAGGACAAAATTAATTTGTGTTAATGATGTAGTGTAAGTATTTGCACTTGTAATTCAAGTGGRTGCTGTCCAAACAGATGTGCACTTTCCATGCTAAAATACCTTCTGCTATAACTAAAAGGAGAACAGGCGCAGAAGTTCCTTCTAGCTGCCAGTTTTCAGTAAGTTTAGTAAGGGACTGTTTCTGACCTGAGGATTTCTCTTTTTGGACTGCAAACTTAAAGCACYTTGGAGGACTTGAAACATTTGAGAGAGCCAATGTTCATGAGCTTGTACTACTTTCAATTGCCACCATGTAGAATCTAGACTTTTATTTCAAATCTTTTAGCTTTGTGTTTCCAAGGATAACCAGAGAAGTGTGAATTCAATATAAACTGGTGCAGCACATCTGCGTCAATCTGAAAACAGGACAAAGCAATGATGAGACAATTCGGTGAATTTTTTTTAGGACTGCTTTTATGATTTTAAACTGCAAACTGATTATGATAACTTAAATATCTGSTTAACTGCTTTGCTGTTGTTCACTGCACGCAAGAAAAACAAATATGGATGTTTTGTGAAGACTTCTTATGAGTGACATTCCTCTGATAGAATTTGGGAGTATGAGAGTGCTATTCATAAACTGCTTTCAAAAGTAGCATGCTTATGAAAAACACTGAAGTTTTAAGAAAATTTCAAGTGTACCATTGCCTGTTACCAGCATTGTCAAAAGGAGGCCCTTGGTTTACATCTCAAAGACAGGCAGAATTTTTAAAGAAGAATTGTTTTTGTAAAAGCCCCACGAGGTATGTACTTACCTACAAGTAGATTGCAATTGCAACTCAATTAGATTTGAAATTTAATATGCAGATTGTGAAATCATGGAACCATAAGAATTGAACTTACTGAAGTAATAAGTTTTCATTTTTTTTTTTATTTCAGCGGTTTCTTTTCTGTGTCTAGAAGACCTCAGTGTGTCTGCACTCAGTTTTAGGTGTGAGAGAGATATAGAACCATTCCTACCATTTAGGAAGAAACTGGAGGAAAAAAATAAAAAGAAATGAAGGCACTTGTGGTGGTGGGGGGCAGGTCACATCAATGTAATTTTAGATCTGCTAAAATCTCTGGTAAATTCCCTATGGGTATCAATAATAGAGGATTTCATCCTCTATTTGGGTGAAGTGGGGTGATGTACTGCACTGCTGTTACATATCACACAGGGAAAAACTTGGTTTACAAGAGAATGTCTTATAACTGAATAAGGAGTGGGTTTTCTCATTTGGACCATATGGACAAGGGCTAAGCTGGGGTCCATGTGAGCCACTGGATTCCTGTTGGCTGGGAGCACTACAGGACAGTATAAGGTGATACACTGCTGTAAATCATCATGGTCTCCTGTGACCTTCTAATTTATTTTAATATATTCTAATTTATTCTAGTCTGTGTTTGGAGACAGCTGCTTTTGTAAGCTGATTATACTGTCTGTTTCAATCCATTCACTCYATGGAATCTTCTTCCTTAGTTTTTAAAAGAGTTGCTCATTTTGGTAAGAGATTGTCAATTGTTTTGGGGATGTCTGTACACCTCATAAGCTAAGGTTCCTAAGGTAGCCTTGTGTTCTCAGGTCAGTGACTCCACCTAGAAGCTACCAGATGCAGCTGAGAGGTGTTATTCCCTCCAGCAGGCTGCGTGGATAGCTGGGCTGCCAGGACAGGAGAGGGGGCTTGCCTCTGCAGCAGGCTCCTGAGAAGCGTTGTGCAAATCCAGCCCAATTTAGTGAGCAYGTCTTACTGACAAGAGTTATGCCCMGGGAGTGACTTTTTCTCATTAAGASTGCTAGTTTGTTTGCCACTCATATTTACAGTGCATTTTTACTGTTATTTTTCATAGTAAGGTTTGGGATTTTAGAGAGGGGAAATAGTCAACTAACTGCTCAGTGTTCAAATGGAAACCAGATTGGTTTCCTTTTGCACATGCATTTTCTAGTGCTTTCTGCTAGTTTAGTTTTAGATGTCCTAAACAAGACTCTCCCTTGGGTGCATTYGTGAAGTCTAATAGATTATACTGCCAGGAAGTTTCTCGTGCTATTAATTTTAAATTTCCTTCTCAATTTCATTCCATTATCCCAAGTATGTATTTCCTGTATTTTCCAAATAATTCCTTACTCTTCTGTGTGTTTATACTTCTCACATATTTGCAGTAATTGTCTCAGTCCAGTTATTATTTCACTACCATAGTAATGTTTACCTCATTTAACCTTTTTTTGAATCAGTTGAATTGCATCCTTTATCATTCCATGTCTCTAAGTTATCTTAATTTGACAAGATCCTGCTGATAAAAAGATTGTTAGTATTTCATGATTGTGTGGCTCTTTTGAAACACTTGTGACTCATAAAGCACACAATCAGTTTAAGACAAGTTATCAGCCACTGTTATAAAAACTATTTACTACGTTACTTTTTATTGCAAGTTATTTGCCATTGGAGGATTTGCGGTCATGCAGAATGTCTAAGGCATATTTAAGCACTGGATAAACATATATTTACCACCTGTCAGCTTTGCCATATTCAGATGTGCCTACATGCAGAAAATAACATATTACCTTGATGGCCTGTACGTGGCATCAGGTGATATGTAGAGTGCCTCTTGTATCCATCTATTGTAGAAGTGTCATTACTTATTACACTCTTGACATGTAAACTTCCCATTACTAAACACTTCTGTGTTTTTAGTAGGCGGCTTTTTGCCAAATGCTGTGATGTGTGCATTACAGTGCCTCGTATCCAAACCCTCTGCCCTGCTCCCAAGCATGTGAATCATTAGTTAGCTTTCCAGTGTGAGTAATCTCTGTGGACAACTGTGGTCAAGCCTTGGTTATCCTCCAAGCCAGAGTGGTATGGCATGTGAAAACAGACGTTTTACATCAGTCATTTACTCTCAATACTTCATACATTAGGGCCTATGCCTGGTCAGTTTACTCCTGCTGTCATGGRATTTTGGTTCACGGTCACTGCATGAACAGCAAATATATTCCAAACAATGTGATGCATGCTTCATCCAGGAAGGAAGAACGCTTACCAAAAAGTACTGCTAACTAAGCAGTATCTGAAAAGGGACCTGCCTGGCAAAAATATCACATGAAATTCATAGCTTCTTTAGAACAGCCCATTCCAAAACACACAGGTGCTGTGATGATGGGCAGTTCTGAAAAACCCTAAGATAGGTAGGTAGGCTCCTTAAACACAATGTGTATGTTTCACAAGGCATTCTTTTGGTTTTGTTTTGTAGCCTAACAGCAGTGGTCAAGTAGTAGGGAAAGTGCCTGGCCATTTTACTCCAGTTTTGGCACCCTCTCCCCATCACAGTGCGGTGCGACCTGTGACCCTGACCATGACAGATACTAAACCCATCACTACATCCACTGAAGGTGAGGCATCTTCACCTACAGCAACCAGTAAGTATTTCTTTAGGAAACAAAAAATGTCCATCGAAGATTCGATTTGATTTCAAATTGAGGCCAGAAAAAGGCGCCTTTTCCTACTATTTGACCAAGTGAGTGCTCATCATTTTACATGGAGAGCAAGAACAATCTGACTGCAAAGCTTTTCCTCCCAAAGTTTAGACCAACGGATCATGTTACACAAATCAAAGTTTGTGACATGACAACCAAAGTAAAAGGGAAAAGCCTGCATATTTGACCACTATTCAAGGAAAAGAAAACATGCTTATTCATCTGAGGTGGACATTGTTAAGACATTGAGAAGCACACCCAGACAGTAAGGTTTTACAATGACCTACAGATGGAATTCCAAACACAGACTGGATAATTTGCTCCTCAATGAACTTTCCTACAGAAATCAAACCCTTTACAACACATACTGAATCCAAGCTATGATAATTGCATGTTAATATAGGTTGTGTCATTTTTAGCAAAAACAACGATTGTGGCAAAAGAAAATCTTAATTCCTTGTCATTGCTGCAAGGGATGGTAGCTCCACTGTTTGCTTGTTTGTTTGTTTGTTTTTTAAAATAGAAAATAACAAATTCTAACTTCAATGTTTTAATCTCGTTACTACATATAGGATCATGTTACTTTTCCTATTATCTTCAATGGAGTTGCAGTTTTAGAGATTGGGGAAAAACTATATCTAGGCTAATTTCTTCCCTCCCAAGTATTCATGATCAGTGGCACAGAATGTTGGTTTTTAACTGTGTTCTGCATTTCTGTTGTCCTTGAACTTTTTTTGGGCTTGTGATGGCCAGTGTTACCAGTATTTATCAGGTTGGTGAAGATCCCTCGGAGACACTTCCAGATTTTTGGAAAAAACTAACCTCTCTTTAAAAGTATTAATCTCTTTAGAGTCTGTTACATTAAAATTACTTGTTCTAGACTTATTTAATAGTTGAACTGCAAATACGGTCCCTCACTGTTGGTCTGTCATTAACAGAGACCATAAGCTGTATGCTTTTCAGGTATTATACTACTTTAAATCTTTCATCATAATCTGAAGCAGAGGTTACACTGAGATGTGTAAGATGTAAAGGAGAAAAGCGCTTCAAGCATTTTTTATAAAAGGATAGTAATAACTTCTGGAGAAACTACTGCTTCACTATAAAAAATAATTATATGGATAGGTTTATGACAGTATTTCAGCTGCCCTCGCAGTATATTAGTTTTATTAAGAATGACAGAATGTATCTGTAGCCCCGCTGGTGATTTGTGGTACAGTTTTTGCACCTTTTAAGAAAAGTTAGTTTTAGCAGCAAAGAAGAAACTGCTGCTTTAAACATTCGCACCAGAACAAAAAACTGAGAAAACTAAGATCTTGTATAGTTTCAAATATTTGTGGTTTCATTCTGCTTTGACATGACCGTGCTTGGCCTACATATCTCTCTTAGATGGGCTCAGGGTTTCTGATAAAAATAAAAAACAGTGAATGCCAGAATTGTTTTGGGATGTTTTCTGGAAATCTGACCTTTATCATCCTTATAGGAAAGCACACCTCATCTGTCCATTTTCCAGGTACTAAGGGAATAATCTAGACTATATTTTCCAATTAAATCATCACCCAGTTTCTTACACAATTTATGGGAACTTAAGTAGCTGATTCAAAAGCTGAACCTTTTGAACATCTTGGCTTAGATGCTTAAAATGAGGCCTTCTCATGCCTCCRTAGTAGTTTCCAAATAACTTCTTGCCACCACAGCACATAACTAATAGTAGAAAAAATCCCTATATGCAAATTATATTTGAATGTGCCAGCATTACCTAAAAGACAGCGTATAACACCTCACCTGCTAGGGGGTTATGATTTTCAGAAAACTGAAGTAGTCTATTTCTTTGGCAAAGCCTTTTGAGACTAGATTGGTAATTGTAAGAACACAAAAAAATAAAGATGTATAGCTTGTTGATGAAGAAAATAACAAATAAAATGAGGCATCATGTCCTTCTGATATATGAATTATATATGAATACATATAAACTATATTACCAGTTGTAATAGATCTACCACACAGAGTGCTGATGTTAAATTAATGGGAAAATCAACACTGAATATATTTTATGGCATAGTTTTATTTTTATTTGCTCTGACTGATTGGTAGAAAACATATATAGGTGTGTATTTATATAACATAAACTTGGACAACAAGTTAACATTATTATTCAGTCTGATGAGAATAAATTGGCAAATGATTAGCACTGCTTTTCATTCCAAAGTGCAATAGCAGAATTGTTTTTAATCAGAAAGAACAGCAGGCTCTAATAATATTTGGGGAACCTTGTGGCCTCCACTATAATTTCTTTCTAATAACTGGTGATTTTTATGACAGTTTTTCAGTAAAACCTGTCTACTGTACATAGCATTTTAAATTATCATTTTTTTAATGAATGCATTTAGTTTCTCTGTTTTTTTCCATGTGACTTTAATATTAGCAGGCCAGTTTAGTAAATACTCTCATCCAGCTTCTCACTGGCATGCTTGTAGGTGTATGCTCAGTTTCAGTGGTTTTGCTACCAAATCCTTACCACTTTTCCAGCAAGTTTCCAGACTAGAACTCTACAAGTTGCAGTGTGGACATCTCCACATCTCCACTCTGGGAAGCTGAGTCAGGCTACCTAACTAATTTGATAAGTGCCACTAAAAGTCATGAGAGGATAATGGCTTTTAGGGATTGCTGGCAGAGACCAGACAGGAATTTGTCCTGCAGGTGAAGGATTTATGCTCTGTAGCTAATCACTGCATTGCTTGATATTGCCTTTCTCTTCAGAAATGGACTTCTTCGATCTTCTGTAGTAGGCAGTGAGAGACTTTAAATAGTTCCCCTCAGAAAAAGATTGTTTCCTGGTGTATGGGGGAGTTGAATATTTACTATTATATTGCACAGTAAGAATTAGCCCCCTTCTTAGGAAAATATTAATTGGATTACAACCCATTACAAAGGCCTGGAAAGATTCACTTCATGCAAGTAATAAGTAAATCCAAATTTTATTCTACTTTATGTTATTCTTTTACAGCAGTTTGGGGTTTTCTTGGTAGAAACAGGACATTTACAGAAGTAAAAGTAATGTGATCATGAATATTTTCTCTCAGCACTGTAATCTTAGTGATTTCACAGTTGTTTTAGATTGGTATAATGGAAATCAAAATTGCTATTCCTTCGAATAAATACATTGTGAAATAATTTGGAAAAAATAATCAAAGGAACTATTATTTACAAGAGATATAATTATGATTTACACATGCAGCTTCCATTGAAGTTTCTAGGAATTTACACATGCGTTTCCAAATTTGGTTCAATATTTCTTTTGCTTCCTCTTAAAGGAAAATCAAAGACACATCCTATATATTGCAAAATCATAACTCTGGATCTCTCCTATTTGTGCTGTACCTATACCAGGTAATAGTCATGATAGGTTGGTATTTTTATCAATATGTTTTGTTCTTCCTTAATCAGCCTACACAGCCTCAGGCACATCCCAAGCCAATCGATATGTGGGACTAAGCCCAAGAGACCCATCCTTCCTACACCAGCAACAGGTGGGCAAGTTTCACATAGGTGTAATGATATAGAGAAACTTTTGCGATGTTACCTTCCTACATGCTGCCACTGTTATCCTGGACTTGAATCTTGAGGTTTTCAGTATTGGTCATTGAAGATGAAGTACATTCAGAACAAAGTGAACCCTTTAAGAAATATATATTTAGCTTGTACTTTGTTTCTTAGATTTGTGCTACCTTAAGGAACTCCTAATTATGTTTCTTTTGTTATTTTAGTTTTCAAGAGTTCGTACCTGTAATCTCTAATAGGACTCAAAGCAGAATGAGGTGTTTAAGAAACAAATACTAATTTCAAAATCAGTTTAGAAAACAAGCACAACTCCCAAAGCAAAAAGTCCAGTTTATTATTTTCAAGTTATTTTGTTTCTTTTTCCCACACAACACATTTCTTTAACACATTTCTTCATTTAGCTTTAGAAGATCAGTTATAGAATCAAATTCTCAAGGCAACACATCATCACTTCTAGTGTAATAGGTTTAAATTGGTCTGCTGATTTCAAATGTGATAAAACCACATTTTTTGTTCTAGTTTCCTACATAATTTATATTTCAAGTAGCCTTTTAAATTTCACATCTCATTAATGCTGTAAAATTAATGCAAATGAAGTGTTTACCGAAACTGTGAAAATATACAGCCGAGATTAATGACGGCATACAAATAAATTAGCTGCAGCCAGTAGCAAGGCCATGCACATGCAGGAATGCTACATTAATAGTAACAAAAATAAATTCAGGCCCTTTAGAATTTTAATGTGCTTGACGTTGTGTGTTTGTGTTCCTCTTAGATCTTAACAGTAGAGGACTTTGAAATTCACAGCATGTAAATGTTATAAGGGGAAAAGCTGAATGTGGCAATAAGGAAGAAGGTGTTAAGGAGTCCTTGGTATTTGCTKTATTGTATATTTGTTCTCAGATTTGGGTTGCTGTCAGCAGTTTATACACATTCTAGTTTCATTTTTCAGTAAAACCTACCTGTTCTGAATTTGCTGAGACGTAGGTGAGGTGTGTTTCAGCTGGAACTCCGTATCCTTCCCAACTCCCAGGGCAAGGTGGCAGTATGTCCATTTTAAAGGTCACCACATGCAGAGTTCAGAGAAAATCATAAAGATGATAATTTATTCAAAATAGTTGATGCTTTGCCAACTCTTTTTTTTTAACTAGTAAGACCTAAATTCAAACATCTGTACACTTTTATGAAAATATGTAATGACTATTAGTGGGTTTTCCAGTCATGAATTTCTCAATAATTTTTCTGGCATATTGTTGGGTTTTTTTAGCTTCTCAAAGATTTTTGTATTATGAAATGTTTTATAACTACCTCTGACATGGTTCTTTTTAAAAGATATATAGTATACGTTTATCATTTTTTAAAGCACACACACCACCTCTCATTTTACACGCAGTGAATGTAATTTGTGGAGTTCCTGTGAGGTTTTTAGAGTATCCTTTGAAATGTCACTGACATCCTGTTAATTTGGGGATGTGAATAAATTTTTTCACCTCTACATTTCTGGACACATTTTTTTTCTGTAAATTGCTATTGCTTAGGCCCGCTCCACCTTCTTCCAAACTCATTGAAAGATTTCTTAACTTCTCATCACGTGCCAGAAAGTAGTGGAAGCACATTTAATTTTCTCCTGGCTGATTTTTGTGATATACACTGCAAATGTTGCACATCTTCTATTTATTTTTGTCCTTGTGTAGATCAAAACAGATTTCAAAATTTCAGCAGTGTCTTTGAAACATGAAAGAGAGAGGGATCTCAAATGTCTTTGGTGTTCACATGTACTGTGTCTGATACTCCCTTTTGTGGTAAAACATGTGGCCAAATGGCTTGGGAGGAAGGGGAAACTAAGATCTCACATACACTTCAGAAGCAAAAAATTATCTAATGCCACTGTGTTAAAGCCATGTTCTCCTTTGTAAGTTATATTGCTTCATAGTCTCATTATATTAATCCAAGAGCATTGATTGATGACCAATGAGCTATGTATATAGCACATTTGAAAATTGTTTTATTGTCTTTGCTCTTAACTCACTATTTTAACATGCAGTGGACATGTCAGTGTTTGCCTGAGTGTGTTTGTGTGCGTGTGTGTGTGTGTGTGTGTCTGTGTGCCTACACATATGTAGAAAATTAAGGACTAGCACGTACAGTGGAAACCATTTGAAAGAACTGAAATCTTTAATGGATAAATATGAACATTTAAGTGTGTATATGCATGATTCTAATGAACTAGTTTCCTTCACTCAATTCTAAAGGTATCTCAAGAGATGCCACATTTATACATATATATATATATATATATATATATATATATGTGTGTGTGTGTGTGTGTGTGTGTGTGTGTGTGTGTGTGTGTATACATATATATGTATATAAACTCAGAAAGTAAGGTAGAGCTAGTGAAGGTTATCCTTCGGTAAGGCAAAAATGGGATTGATTTACTATGTCCTTTCATTACTTTACAACAATTTAAGAGACCACTCTTCTTGTGGCAGATTTTAAATGCATTTGCTTTAAAGCAATCCATGATGAATGAAAAGAAAAATCAAGGGGTATGTGAAATAAAGGCAATTAATCATTTTATATTAGTGGAGAGAAATTTTAAATTAGAAAGCTGATGGTCTTAGTTCCAGAGAGGTCTTTCAAACATTCCCCACACCCTGTAATGCACATTGACCCCTCAAGAATAAATATTGTCACCAGAACCTTTTTAACTTCATCAGAGGAGTCTATTTGAAGATTTATTCTTTCTGGTTATGAGAAATATTGGCATATACCCTTAAACACTTTTTTTTTGTTATTAAAAATTACCCTTAWGTAGCCCATTTAAGTTACAGTGACCACAATAAATTTAACAGTTACMCATGTGTTTTGCAACATGCACTACAAGGAGTCCTCAGAAAGTGATAGCTTGCTTGAACTTCCAGTAAACAATTTATAGAACAGCACACCCAAAATAGTCACATTTAGATGGGGAGCACTGAATAAAACTTTGAAAGACAATGCATAATAGGGCCAGTGGAAGAATTTTTTGGCTTTTACTGGTCTGGATACTGTGAAAATGTGGTGTTATATGCATTACTTAGCCTGCAATATTGATAGCTGGAAGGCCAGATTCTAATGGGGAATTTTAACCACACAGTCCATTTTCTGCTGCACTAGCTGGTGGATCTTCCCACCACTCGCCTCAAAATGCTAGCTATTTCTATACTGTGTCATGAATAGCCACAAAACCTACRTCTTGCTTCAGTGGTATCTGGGGAGTTATATGTAAAATGTCACTTTCTTATAAAAAAATCATGTCAGACCTCCTCTGTCTATTACAAAATATTAGTGACCACTCATTTTTCTTTTTTTGATTCAGCATCAGCTTCTGAGAGTTATGTGTTGATCATGTAACTGCAGGGAGGACACCATAGGATGGGGYAAGGGAAGTGATAAGATCTGAGTGAGACAGTGTTTCTGAATTTTATTATTGGTAGTTGGCGGAAATATTTTATAAAGTCAAATCTACTGCTCACTGTTCTTAATCTGTGCTGAGAAACATCCTAAATAAATTAAATGAAAGATTTCTGTAATGACATGGAAGCACTTTCTATCCCCGCCCTTAATTTGCATTTATTGAAGATTTGTGGTTTCTAAGCCTAGAAGAAAGGGTAACAAAGCAACAAACTGAGGAAAGTCAGTCAAATTCAACCTTCTACAAGTGGACACAATTCATTGCCAGAGTGCTAGTTGTGTCTGCATTTTTTGCCTAATTACCTTTAATGGCAAGATCATTAGTTCATTAKCTCAGTCTTAATGATCAGAATTCTTGTGGTGATGTGACGGCATTTCTTTGGCCTGTTTGTGTCACTGTTCTCAACTTCATGGATAAATTATGTTATTGAAATGACAAACACTTTGAGTCAGGTTATGTTGTTTCTGGCAATAATGCTACAAATCTGCCAGAAATACTAGTCATACACTTTGCGTGTGTAAATAGTATAAAAAGATGGATGGATGGATGGATGGATGGATGGATGGATGGATGGATGGATGGATGGATGGATGGATGGATGGATGGATGGATGGATGGATGGAAGGACGGCTGGATGGATGAATGGATGGATAAATACATAGACACTTGTATTTATTGCAAGTACAGATGACTGGTTTCACAAAAAAAAATAAGATTTCTGTTGGAATGAATGAAATAATGAAAGGTTTTTGTTCTTGACCATTTAATTTTAATGCACCTTGGGGTCTTGTATGGATGATTCTATTTTTAATYATAAAACATAAATAAATGGGATGGCTATTAAGGTCTGTGAGGACAATAACCTATAGAACCTCCCTGTCACAGTAAATGGTGTTAACTAATGGTGGCCCAATTGCTGAGGAGTTAATGAACTCTTTCAATCTTTGCACTGATAAACACAGTGGCATGATTTTCACTAATGTTTGCACTTTCTGGGTACRGCATGTTGCATTCATGATTTTCACACAGATTTTACAATTATGAGTGAGGCACTTTCAATGCACATAGTAATATGATCTCTAAAATGCAAAATCGGAAAACTTGTATACAGTTTTTTATTTCCTACAAATGCTTTCCCTGWTTCTTCTGCGTAAAGTTGCTCTTACCAGATGCATCCTTTAGTTACTGAGCTGCACAGTTCAAAAAGTTCTCTTCATACAGTTCATCATGGAAATTGTGGACTTAAACGTCCACTGAACACAGAGTATTTGTTTACAAAATGTTTTGGGTGGATGTTGCTTTTGCTTTCAGCAGCAGGCTGAAAGAAGAACACAGGCGGACTCCCAAAGAGAACTTGTCAGTAAAGTCAGGAAACAGGTTATCAACACTTAGGCTGTTCTTATTGTGTCCCTTATCATAATTGACAGTTTGACGTAAAACTGGGTCACATGATCATCAGGGAGGTATGTAAATGGCTAAGAGGTCACCTTTCACATATGCTTGCTGGAAAGGAAACACATTTAAAGGAAGTTTCAGTCAGAACAATGACAATATGCAAATGCTAAGTTTYATGGGCTTTTCTCGACTAACAGAAGCTACATCAGTCTCCTGTTACTTTCCAAAATACATTTCTACTTTCACTAGCTATTACAGAAGCTTGAAATGACTGTTAGAGYTAGACAGCCATTCTTTAGATATGAGACCACAGAATCTGCTTAAATACTCACCCCTTAAAATTATTCATACTACAATTAAAGATGGAGCTGTTGGCTATGTGTTTTTAATGTATGCGTGATTTGCATACTTAAAACTCTGCAGGATGGTTGTGCTTGCAAGGTGCTGTTTAAACTGTTTAAGCTGTGAAGAACAGCTATGGTAAAATCTAGCACTTGCATAGAACTTCACATCAGTATGTCTCACAGCTCTGCAAAGTGCAAAGCAAAATCACTTTCCTGGCATTTTACAGAACAGAAGCACTTCATATACTGCTCTGCTTCTCTCCAGGCCTGTGTCCCATTCCAGGCCTTTTTCCCCTTCCTGCAAAGTGTCTGAGGTGGATGAGTGAGTTGTGTTGCCTTTCAGGAGAAACATTTGCAGAGGGCTTTTTGCTCTGTGCTGCCTCATGAGTGCAAGGTGGGTGTGAGGCAGGTGTGAGGGCAGTGCCCGGCATCTGGGAAYGGCAGGACTGCCTCAGAGGGTTCCTCATCTGCTGCAAAGCTGGGCTTCCTTTTCCAGTTCAGAATACAGACCCATCCTCTGTTCTTTTGTGGTTAGATGAGAGATAACTATGGAAATCATTGATAATATTTTGAGGATGGAAGGTGTTGTGGAATTGAGGTTCCTGTGGCTTGCCTTGGTAAAAAAAGACAGAGCTGTGGACTGAAGTCTGTTCAACAGACTTCTAGGAAAGACATTTCACCATGTCATATACCAAATCAGGTAATTTACTTTGGATTCATAACATACATTTGAGAAAATTAATAATATTTTCCAGCATTTATTAAATGTATCCTGAGGACTATTTCTTATGTTCCTTTACTGAGGAATGCAAGTTTTCTCAAGTAGCCTTCAAGTATTTTCTTGCCTCTCCTTTACACATATCCTGCAGGGAAGCTCTTTTAGATTGCTTAGAGTGGGTAAGAGTGACTGTGCCTCCTCATCTGCATCTAACACTGTGGCATGATTTTAGAGAGCGTCTGAGTTACTCTGAAAACAATGACTAGACAGAAAGCTTTCAGTGTGACTCCAGACAATATATATAGCACTTGATATATCGTCACAAAGTGCCTTATGTCTTTCCACAGCTTGGTAGTCATGTTAKGTGCCCAGGCTTTCTCTGCTGGGCTCTCTGGACATCCTCAAAGGGCAGCCTCCCACTGCTGCTGTGAAAGGGCTTTTTCCATCACACAGAGCCCAGGCTTACAGAGTTTTATCAGACTTCTACAGAATTTTATCTAGAAGGCATAACCTGCCTGGGATGCAGATGCAGRTATTGCTAAGTCTTAAATATGCAGATCTTTCAGTATGGGTGACTTGGGGGAGGAAGTTTAGTGTGAGGGAGAGTTTAAAAAMAATTCTAGGCAGCTTAGTTTTTAAAGGCATTGGAACAGTAATGTGAGCTTGCTGAAGAGTGTGAAGMAGCATATTTTAACAGTGAGAAGGTTATTATCTTTGCAGTGTTTGGATGTATATAAGTTGAGGTACAAATGACTGTATATTATAAGAAGCATGTCATAACTAACATCTATGGAAAAGGTTTCAAAAGCTTTGTGGAGCTTTCYTAGTGATAAATTTAACACATTAACTGTATGTGTGGAAGGTTTTCATACAGACTGTGGGAAGGCTATAGTGATTTAGTGCAGAAGCTAATTTACTAAAATGTAATATATCAATCTCTTACTGTTTCCTCCAAATGGCAAATGCAATTAGGTTCTATATAGCAAGCTAAGTGCTTACCAGATTTCTGAGTTAGACCTAAGTGAATATAATAATTTGGTAACACTAAGTCCATGATTTTAGTAAATTTTTAATGGTTCTAATCAGCCAAAGGGCTTTTATTCATAGATTTTGTATTTTGTGAGAGAAGCAAAAGAGGGGGAGGAGGGTTTAACCTTTCAGTCTTCTGTTTCAGCTGCAAGTGAGTTTTTATAGCTAAGTTATGAAGCTTTAAAATATGCTTTGGTAGTGAAGATGATGACATCCTTAAGGATAATAGGAGAAATACATCTACTGTACTTTGAGTAACAGGGCTGACATATTTTATTATGCTTTCATTATTAAAATCAGGCTGAGAATCCTGTTTTTTATAGTGATTATACCAAATGTTTACGTTCCCATTTCTTTAAACATATTTAATGTATTATTCACAGTTACCTCTAGCAAACTTTTTGACTGCATGTTTCCTTTTCTGGTTAATTTCATGTGGTTTAGTCATGCTTTTAATGGCCTTTAGAAGGTCTCTTGGAGTTCTTTAGATAACAAACAAGAAACAATCCCTATGAAAACATCAAAGAAGACTAACATTTCCATTTCTCAGACCTTAACAGCAGGAAGCTTATGAGTCTAACAGCCAGACAGGGTCAGGTTTGCAATATTGTCTTGTCCGCAGCATTTGTATTTTTCAGGAAAAGACTGCAATTAATTGTGCTCCTGTGAAAACAGTTTATTGTAGTTTGTTYGCTGTAGCCTGTTCTATCTAAGGAATGGGAACATGGATAGAGAAAATGAATATGCATTGAACGCAATTAAACTCAGCTACTTTATCTTCAATTAAGMGTGTTTAATCATATATAGTTGTACAGTAATTTACATGAACATGACTATACAGAGGATAAACTATATATTTTCTTCAGAATCCAGATAAGCTCACTTTCTTAAACTTAAAAATAAGCAGCATATCTTTTCAATAAATCTGCTAACACTATTGGGCAGCTGTTAAATAAACAGAGCTGCAGAGGGTTGCTTGAACAATCTGTAAAGGCAGAACTGATGATTTGAGGATCTGGGAAGAATTTGTTTCAGTTAACATTTAGTACATTCCTCATTACATTAAAATACAGTTAAGTATTTTAAATGCTACTTTCCGGAATCTAAAGATTAGATTATTTTATCACCTCTTGCTAAGTAATGCCATTTTCAGTAACACCAGATTAATAAACTTCAGTTACAAAATACCTATACTACTCTTAAACAACAAGATAACGACATATAGTTTGTTTAATTTGGGCAAATTTTCCTAAAATTGCATGTCTTCTATATTTCACAAACAGCATGCTAGAAGAAACTGATTATATTTTACCTTTATTCAATACACATTATATAGAGCATTGCTTGAAAAGCCAGCATAATTATTTCCTTTCTTAAAGTATCTCTCTATTGATTATTAACATTTCCTTTTATTCCAGCTCAGTTTGTAATCTAATAATGGCTAATTGCTATGTGCTACACACTAGTTACTCTTTTATGCTTTATTAATAGAGGATCATATTAAAGTAGCATTATATTAAACAAATCTATAGGCATTTATTTCTCAAAATAAGTTATTTTTCTTTGTTTTATTTTTTTAAAGTTACTTCTTGGGAAAGTAAGACTTTTGCCATGTACAGTACTAGTTTGCATGTATTCATTTAAATACTAAAAACTGTAGTATGCTCGATCCATATCTGACTGCTAGGTTTCAATTGACAGCTGAGAATTTGTGACTGGACCATGAATCAAAACGGCAGGCATTTATACCCCAGTGCCAGTGAGGATACATTGGGAATTACTTGGCAAAGGTAACATTTTAATTATTTCCACTCCTACACCACCTCTAAAAAAGTTGCATAGAGCTACAGTATCTGTTTTAGTGGGTCTCCAGAGGTATATGTGACAGCATTATGATCAAAATATGTGTGCMACATTTCTCCTATACACATTCAGGTTATCTTTTATGTAAACTGACTTTAGAGAGTCCCTTAATTTAACACCTGAAATAACATTATACTGTCATATGCAAAAGGTTTGTGAATTGAAGGATATACTGATCTTAGGCTTAAAAAATGTCATTTGCAGTCATATTTTGGGGACCTTAGTGGTTAACACAAAGAAAATGGTGCTSTTGGAGATATAAATGAGTATAATAATAAATGACTGAGGTGGTGGTTCTTTTTGGGCAAAGAATAACTATATTATTCATGAAGACATTTCTTACTAACTGGCTGGTGTAGATTTAGGTCACTAACATATACCTAAAGGTAAGATAAAAACCGTCTTATTTTTCAACTAAATGACAGAATAATTAGGAATGATTTATAAAAAAAGAGTTTATTTTTATATGAAAAAAGTCACAAATAAATCAAACAATAAACTCCAATAAACTTTGGTATATTATTAATTTATTGTATTTTACATCTCTTGGTATGTAGTAGATTATGGTAACAGTAAAAGGTGTGTGTTTATCTAAATAGGAATGTAAACAAATCAATATAATTTTGATACATCAGTTTTCACCTTTTTCATGTATGGGATTATCTGCTACACTCAACACTTAATGAAGATTGTACATGTAAAACTTGTAYGTTGAGAGTCTATCAGATGAAGTATTACCTTACTTATTAATTAATTTTACATATTTGCTTGAAATTTATGTGCAMATGAAAATATATGTTCTTCTGAATATTTAGAGTAAGTATGTGTGTGAGTGTAATTTATATGTATTATGTACAAAATACCTTTTGATGCATTGTACAGATGGTACTATGAAYAGCTAGAGGTTTTGGGGCTTTTTTAGAATCAATTTAGAAGGGAAATTACTGAACTTGAAAATTGGTGCTGTTTACAAATCTGAAGTTTACTTTTTTTGGTTTCTTTTATTTTTCAATTATTCTGAAATAATGTTTTAAATTGGGAAGAATTATGGTGGCAAGTAAGGTCTTGTCATTTCTTTCCTTATATATTAAATAGTACTATGGAAAATTAGCTAATGGATTCACCTCATCTTCTCAAGGGCTGTGATTCACATTACAAATCCCCATCATGCAGTAACTGCCAGTAGTGAATGTACTGCCAGTAGTGAATCCAAACAAAGCTCGTGTAGCGCAGAGGGAGTGATTTATTCTCCCACTACAAAGCATTTTCAGGGCTTTGCTGTGTGTTAGAAAATGACATCACAACAACCTATCTAGGAATATCCTTACAGGGTTTCAATCGACCGTCACTCAAGCCCCATCAGAGCAATGCCAGTTATACSGGCTGAAGCGCTGTCCTAGCATTTGCTGAATTCTGTTTTTCAGTASCAYCATACAAAACCCTGGGCATAAATCRTGAAAGGAGAAGAAAAGTGAGGGAAAACATTTCTAGGTGATGGCCAAGAAAAGCATGCTCCATGATCCATTCACTTTGCAGATCAAACTGCTTTGCAGGTCACTCCCAGAATGCTGCTGTCAGAACGTAGCTCTTCCAACACATAGAAGAGCTTGGGTGCAAATTCTGCCTTGGGCATTTCATTAGAGGCCTAGGCTGTGCCACTTGCTCTTGGATTATGCACAGCCTTGAAGGACAAGGAAACAAAAAGTTCTGCCTAAGCAGATGGATTTTAGGTTTTGGGTTTTGAAATGTGACATTCTTCAAATCCACAGAGCTGATGACCTAACAGAAATTCTACTTGCACAGGCTAAAGAGCAGTGAGCCTTTGTAACACTAAAACTAAAATTAAAAAAAACAAGAATATATTGCAAAAGGAATTGTCACTTGCTGGCAAAGAAATATGTCCTGGCCCAGACAAGTTTCTGCAACCCCAAAGGGTTTGATAAACGCTTGATTATGGGATTTCCACATACCTGCAACAATTTTGATTGCGCTCAATCTCAACTTTTAATCAGGCTATTGTGGTTAAATATAGTTGTTTTTTCAGAAGTATTATTGACCTCAGGGAGGTAAAAAAATTGYCAGTCCCTCAGTGTTAGGTGCCCTGTCTACAGAAATCAGGTAGCAAAGATGGTCAGGTTGAAAGCTTTGTCATCGAGCATTGTTGGTAAACCACACCTTGGAAACTTGGGGAAAGTGAATGATGAAAATCTTCTGTCATTTCTGTGCTCTTTGTTTTATTAATAGTTGCCTGTCATATCTCATGGTAGGTACAATGCATAGACTTCAAAATTTGATTTGTTTTGTATTGTTTCCTGACAAAATAATGGATCTGTTGGCATCTAAAGATTCAGGTCTAAGACAGGTCTACACACAAAGGCTGAACTTCGCAAAAAAAAAAAAAAAAAAAAAAAAAAAAAAAAAAAAAAAAAAAAAAAAAAAAAAAAAAAAAAAAAAAAGAGAACGTGAATAATACAAAACAAAAAAGAATACCAAACAATGAAACTGTAGGTCACTGATACTCCATTTGCTAAAAAACCAGAAGACTTGCAGGGAATAGTGATAACAGAAATAGATACTCTGCATAACTGAATTAAATATTCTAGTATCTTTAATGGAAATACTTATATTAAACATTCTATGAGCATCCAAAAAAATCCCTCCAAAACTCACCACARTTATTTGGCAAGGTATTTGGAAGCAGTAATTTTTACTTTGCTGCTGATGYGCAAACCATCTACAATTTTAGTTTGGTTTGTTTGGTTTTTCTTTGCTTATTTCAAGATATATGGTTCATATTATGTCTTTATTATTCTTTTTATATTTATTTGTAAATGTATTTTATTGTGTCTGCTGAACTTTGAGCACCATTTAAACACATCAGTAGAAATAACTTCTCCGGTATTTTTATGATCATTTAGGTAACTTTTTTGGTGTAAAGAAGATACTCAGAACCTTTAAAAAATCCCAAATCCTTATTTTTTGGATAGCTGTATTTCTGTTTTCCTAGAGACTGAAGGCAAAGGGAAGCTGGGAAAAATCTGTAAGGCTCATTTAGAAAAATACAGTCTCAGATATTACGTGAGGACAAGACTGTATGCAAAAAGCACACTTGAAAATTGAGTGAGAGTGACAAAAAGTGGGGGGCRTGGGGTGGGTGGACTGATAACATGAATTTGATCCTAAATCTAAGCCACTCGTTATACCACTGATGATATTTCCAGTGTAAATATTCATAACAGCATAGGTCTCTCTTAGGCCATGTGGAGCATTTGCATGTCTTCCACAGACTGTAAGCAACTTTTCATTGTCAAAGTATACTTTTTAACTCAGCTGTTGACAAATGTGTTTTTATTTACATTAATTCTTTAAACATTCTGTGTTAGTTTTATGGGTTAAGTGTTTAAAGTTACCTTTACATAATCCAGGCAAATGGACTAGGCTAGAATTTCAYGCTTTCATTTTATCTTGACACATCAGCATATTACAACAGCTGGCTTGTTCCTGGAGATGCTGAGGGGGGTTTTGTTCTCAGAGTGCTGAATTTCTGCCTCAGCTGTAGCTGTAGGGGTGTTCAGCATTCCCAGCATCATTTCCCCACACCCCCAGCACCACTGTGTGTTTATGCTAACAGTGCTGATAAGGCAATCAAATGGGATTATCTGATTTGTGAAAGAAATTGGAGGGGAACTGAGAATGGGTGCACATTGCTTTTGTAGCACAATGCTGTGTGCATGTTTGGTATCGAGCAAAGATATAGCTAAAGTTACACAAACAGCAGTCTGTGGAAGCACATTTTGGCAAACACAGACACCTGTTAGAGCCGTGGCTCATGCACTCTGACCTGTGCCCCTCCCTCATTCCTCCTCYCAGCAATGGTTTGGAATTGAAGTTCCATTTTATTATGATTTGAGAACAAAAAGGCTGAAGTATCCTGATGGTAAACATATTCATAGAGAGAAGATCTAATGTTTTCTGATCTTTATCAATTTAAATTACTAATTCTAATAGTTTTGCCCAACTCTGTAATGCAGAAAGATGTGCAGAATATTGTTTCCGTCTAGGCAAACATCTGAACACTTCCTAAGAAATTAGTTGTATTCAAGCCAGACTTGCATGCTGCCATCCTACAGGAAATGGGTCAGCAATCCATTAAGATGCCATTAGATAATCTAATTTGGAACTTAATCTCTAAATTAACCATGCTCCATACTTGAAGCATACTTGAGAGAAAGAAAAAAAGTTTATGTTTGAATCGATAGGGGAGCCGAAGCGTGAAGAAGGCTGTTTGTTTTTTCTGTAGCTGTGGTCACGTCTCAAGCCGTCTGGTAACCAGGAGAAACCAGACATGATGTAATTCCAGATTGAACTTGAACTTCAGGGACTTAGAATGGGGGAACAATGGACCATAGGAATCAATAATGTCCATTTTCCACATGATTATGTTTGGAGCTTTAAGTTAACCTTTATGAGAGTAGCAACAAGAGCTGCTGTGTGACCAAAATGAATGAGATGATCTAGAAGCAAGATGTTAAAATAAAGAAAACAACTTTAGTAATAATTTCTGAGCAGCACTGCAGACTCCAGCAGGATTAGAAAAGTTCTTGCTCTGCAGTRAACTGGTTGCCTGTTCTGAGCTCTCTTTGTTCACTTAGGTGGGACAAACTTAATCTTATGTTTCCTGTCAGATGATTTTTGGCAGCTGTTAGGGAAGGAGGAGCATATTATAGAGAATTCCCGAGTGTAAACTGTATCTTTAACCCCTTGGTTACTCCAGCTTTCTACTTCTTTATCATCTTACCTCCAATTGTTTCTTTTGAAGCAGTAGAACTGCTTCAAAGCAGTTGGGGTTTTTTTTTTGGTTTTTT